CCACTGCAGGATGTCTGAAGGGCTTTGGCTCAGTGATATCCTCAGGAGCGTGATTGCAATGGTTATAAATAGGCAGGAGTTGATGATCAAGTGTAATTGCATACACTGAGAGCAAGTCCTAATAAGCATGGCCACAGAGTCCTCCTCTATTTCAGATTTACTCTTCAAATAATTAAATATGTGTAGGAGAAAGAAACCATAAGAAGCTTTTAATGACCTGGAAACAAGGGGCAAACCTACCATTAGAACTTACTCAATCTTGACATTCCAAAAAGAACCCCAAGAACTTTGAAATCGTAGGTAGGTAGAAAGCAGAGCTAAATTATACACTTGCACAGTTATCAAGTTTTAATATTAAAACTTTTGTTTTGTTTTTCAAGACAGGGTTTCTCAGTGTAGCCCTGGCTGTTTCTGGAACTCACTGTGTACATCAGGCTGGCCTTGAACTCAGAGATCCACCTGCCTCTGCCTCCTAAGAGCTGGGATTAAAGGCGTGTGCCACCACCTCTTGGCTTCACATTAACTTTCAAAAGCCACATACCCATGGGACTCTGGGAGCCAGTGGCACGTTCTGCTGCCAGATGGTTTCTTTCCATTCAGACAGGTGTGCCAAGAACACAGGGTATTTTAGATTTGTATCAAGAAACACAGCAATGGAAGCCTTCAGAACTTCAGGGACCTGTCTTGTCTCAAAGTTGTTACAGTGGATAAGGAAAGGGAAATGCACTGTGTAAACATAACGATAGACTGAAGGTTTCCAGTCAGACTAAGTCTAAGCTCTCTGTCAAGCCAAACCTAAGCTATCTATCTAAACTAAACCTAAGCTAACGATCAGATCTGAACTAAATCAAAGTTCTCTACCTATCAAACCAAAGCAAGCTCTCCCTTTTCTACACTAGTTGCTGATTAAGGAAAAAGGCTCGAGGGAACACCTCATCTAAAAGGCACAACAAAGTATTTATGAAAGTGCCATATGAAATCCATTGCTTTGTATGTTGACTTTTCAAACTGATACAAATTAATTAAAACATATAGACACAAGAAATAGGAAGCACCTAATATCGGGTTACTTGCTTAGTAAAAGCTTGGTCCAGCAAAGAGTTAACAGCATCCTTCCTGGTGTGAGTGCTCCATCCCTTTGCCGCTCACTTGCCAAGTATGGTATGCCACCCAACTAGACTACCAATACTTCGGTGTTCTGAGGCCATAGTGTTGGGGAGTCACGTGCTTAGCTGATGGCATGGACTGGACATACATACCAGAACCTTTCCTTTAAATCAAGGGCCCACAAGTAACGCCTTCCACACACCTGAACAGGCTCAGGGTAATACAGACTTTAAGTTACAAATCAAGACAGATCAACTAAATCAAATTTGAAAGAAAATGGTCTATTAGTAAGTGCATGAACACACACACACACACACACACACACACACACACACATAATTACAGTTATATTCAATTAGGGTGTTTATATTCAAAAGGTAAATCAAAGTCATAAGCATCTTGCTGTGGAACAATCTTTATACACTGTAAAGATGTATTGCTCTCGTTGGTTAATAAAGAGCTGACTGGCCAGTAGCTGGGCAGGAAGGGATTGGGCTGGAGAGCCAGACTAGGAGGACACTGGGAAGAAGGAATGACTACGAGGAGTTGAGAGATACAGAGAGAAAGAGGTGCAGATGAAGCAGGAGTTGTACATGTCATGCTGAAAGAAGGTACCACCATATGATAGAGAGTAGATAAGAAATATGGGTTAATTTGAGTTGTAAGAGCTAGTTAGTAACAAACATAAGCTATTAGCTGAGCTTTTAGAATTAATAAGTCTCTGTGTGGTTATTTGGGAACTGACTGAAGGAATAGAAAAGTCTGCCTACAGCATCTAGGATCCAAATGTATCCCAAAGCCAATTTGGTGAACTGCTATGGTTTACAGTGAGCATTAATAAATTGCACCAATACAATGAGACAGAAAGAATGTCTGTCACATGACATACAATATGTATTTGCTGAATTAGTAAGCTGATGAATATATTACAGCCTGTCATGCTGCTTTTTCAATTTATTATCAAGCTTCTAGTCCTTATCATTCCCCCATCCTCTGATGACAGTGGTTCCAGAGACTGAACCTGGGGCCTCACACAAACCAGGTAAGCACGTTACCTTCTGAGTTATATCCCTAGTTCCTAACTTTTTCTATAAACTTCTTCTAATGAGAAGACAGATAGTTGACAGTTTAAAAAAAAAAAAATTCAATTTAGGACAGATATGGTGGCACACCCCTTTAATCCTGGCATTCAGGGGACAGAAGCAGAAAGACTTTTGTGAGTTTGAGGCCAGCCTTGTCTACATAATCAGTTCTAGGTCAGCCAGGACTATATAGGGAGACTCTGTCTCAAAACAAAACAAAAGAAAGAAACAAACAAACCAGAAACAATGAAAACAAAAACTTGAAAGAAAGAAAAAAGAAAGCTTTTGTGCAGGGCCTGATAACCTGAGTTTGATCCCCAGGTCCCAAATGGTGGAAGAAAAGAAACTACTACTACTACTACTACTGATCCTCACTGCGCTCTCTCTCTCTCTCTCTCTCTCTCTCTCTCTCTCTCTCTCTCTCTCTCTCTTCCCCCTCTCTCATATGCACACACAGAATAAATAAATTAAAATGTGAAAAGATAAAATAACTATAGTTGACAATGATTAACAGAATATTTCAAAAGAGACGATGGAAATGATGTGTAATGCTCCCAACACAAGGAAATGCATGACCTGATCACGACCTGGCACACAGGTATTGAAACTCCACTCCCCACTCTGTCCCGTCAGTGCACACAGTTACCATGTGTCATTTTAAATTAATTTTCAATACTTAGCCTTTAACAATGTATGACCCCTACTCAGTATCATGAAGGTGACACACAGAATGGTTCTAGTAAACTCTAAGAGATTAAGTGCTTTACAACTTAAGATTATAAACCAGGAGAAATCTTCACAGCATATGGCCAAGTTTATGTGATCAACCAAGGAGAATAATTCAGTTACATGAAAATGCAAATCTAACAGTAGTGCATTAATTTGTGCCCACTCTGTCTCTCAAGGCAATCATCAGGGACCTCCCACATGAAATCAATATGCAGACATCTATTTAACTTTATCACCGGCTCACTAAGTAAATATCACACTCTAGACCACTTAGGTGTTCATTATTCAGGCAAATAGCAAATGTAAAAAGCAGGCTGCCGGTGTCAAGCCATTAACAAATCAATCGATAACTATTCCCTGGTTTGGGCCTAACATCTATCTGCAGAGCAAATTGTTAGCCAGCTGCTGTGGTGGAATCTGGGTGCAGTGGGGTTTCCCCTCTTACTCTAAGAGAAGTTCTTAGGGAGACAACAGTTGAAGCATGGCTCCATGCGCTTTCAGAAACAGTAAAGCAACTGCCCCTTCATCACCAAAAGGCCTGAAACCTGAGAACCACATTGGGAGATGATGCTCTATTACTCATGCCTAAACTTAAGGCAATACTCAAAAACTGCCTTATATATAAAACATGCATGGAGTGAATGGCTTGATCTTCCACACTCCTGTTTTTACTGCTTTCAGAATGAGCCTCTTTTTTTTTCTTCTTCTTCTTCTTTTCTTTTTTCTTTCTTTCTTTTTTTTTTTTTTTTTTTTTTTTTTTTAGGCCTTTCTAGGTACTACATATATTCACAAACATCTAATCTTCAAAGTGACCAAGAGTGACCCTACTTCTTACAACAAACTCTACTTCTTTTTCTTTTGTTTTTCCCCCCCTTTTTTTTCTTTGTTATTGTTGTTTTGTTTTGTTTTATGTTTTTGTCTTTGTTTTTTTGAGACAGGGTTTCTCTGTAGCTTTGGAGGCTGTCCTGGAACTAGCTCTTGTAGACCTGGCTGATCTCGAACTCACAGACATCCACTTGCCTCTGCCTCCCGAATTCTGGGATCAAAGGTGTGCGCCACCAACACCCGGCTACTTCTTTTTCCTTAAGTGTAATGTGAGCTGTTTGATATCACATCCATGTCAAGCCCCAAAAATCATTTATTTGTACATTAATTTCAGGGTTAGTGCTACGTGTGTCTTCTTCACTTGACACACAGCTAAAATTTTCTACTATGCCTTGGGTCACTTATCCATCTTGTCAGTTGAGAGATGGTGAACAGGAAGTGAAGAGAGGAAGTCTAGCTGCCTGAATCAAGTTCATGACTACTTCTTCAAGTTATAGCACATGACAGACCACATGCACGAAGTGTTACAATTATCAACACAGTTCAGAAGCCCCGCCCCTCATTTTGCCATTCCAGAGGCAACATCGAAAGACTCCACACACAGTGTGGTAAATGAGGCTACTGATTATGCTGAGCGGGGCCACTGAAGGCATTCTCAGGTTGAAACAAACCAAGCGTCTGCTCACTGCTAGGGGGTTGAAGGAAGGGGCTCCCCTTTCCTCTTTCTCTTGCTTGTGACTTGATCTAGGAGGAAAACATTGGCTGTCAAATGTGGACGTTAACCATGGATTTTACACACATACTGGCCTGCATCATTTACTTTCCTGTCTTACTTCCTGGATAAGAGGGTTAGCCTTCACCTCAAAATGACCCTCACAAGAGACAGCTTTTTGAAAGTCACGGTAGAGACCTACTCTTCCTGTGAAAAACAGCTTTCTTCCTGCCTTTTTCTTCTTTTCCATGGAAACCTCGACTCTCCCTTCTCTGTCCCAATGATGAATGTGGCTTCAGTGGAATGACCCACAAAGAACAAGGAAAAAAAAAAAAAATCTGGGAGACAGCCTATTTCTCTTGTTACCCATAATGCTCAGTGAACAACTCAATTCTCCCTTATCACAGGAGCAAACTGCAAGGGCCAGGTTAACGGCCAGGTTGCAAGAGACAAGTTGCAACACACCTGTGGCTTGCCAGCAACCCCCAGAACCCTGACAGAAACCACACCCCACTTCCCCCAAACTACTGCTCCCCAGCTCTTACCCTGCCCAAGAGGTTGTCCTGAAGCAGTGTCTGTTGCAGCACTGGAGCCACATCCTCCAAGCTCAGGACATGGCAGAGGTCAGCGAGCTCCTCTTGACCCAGAGACCCAGTTCCCAGGGTGTCGAAACTGTCAAACAGCTCCTTGAGTCGGGCTTCATGCTGGTCCTGCTCCACCTCATCCATCCCATAGCCCACAGCGCTCACCTGTGCAGGACGGAGAGGAGGATAAGTTGGGGCGAGTCACTTCTGGACAGATGCATCCCTCCCAGCCCCACCAGCCATTTGGGACATTGCAGCAAGGCCCTGCCTGGCCAATGGTACTCCTACATACATTAGCACCAGGGAGAATTCTGCAAGGTTGCAACAGAGATAACAGATATAACAGAGTCCCCCCTCCTGATAGATCAGAGGTAAATGGCCTGTCTGTCAAACTTGGACCTGAGAGGGTTTTCCCCCTATCAGCCCCAGGACTCAGGAAAGTGAAAGGCTACTTCTGACAGGTCAGGTGAGATTATTGTTAGTACCAAGCCACTACCGGGTTAGAGCTGTCAGAGCTGCAGGGCAAGTCAGCGAGCTCCAGACAACCTGCCCTGAGGCTGTGCCCTGAGGGGTGACCAATCTGATTATTTCACTCTAGTCAGTCTAGGTACTCCTGCATCACAGTGACAGCAGAGGCTCTGCCAGAGCCACCTCCCAATTTACAAGAGACCAGATGCCTTTTACTCAAAAAGCAACTCAATTAGCCTTGCTGGTGCAATTACATGTTGTATGACTGAAAGTATTCCCCAGGCTCTCTGTAGTCCCAGGGTGAGCTAGGTAATGCTTAGTTACCAAGAGAAAGAGCAAAACACCAACCACTCCAACCTTTCCCAAGGAGAGGTCCTTAGGAGCCACCCGCTGATTTCTGAGAATTGAACAGCATCTCTGAACTCCACCACCTCTAACAACTCAATGCTTCATTCCTGGCTGCCCTGATCCCCCACCCCCACCCTCAACCCTAGTCCCAGGCATTAACCATCCCTAGGAGCAGTAACAACCTGAAGTCATCAAAAACTCACGAGTCATCTTTTACTAAAACTAGAACCACACACTTCCAGGTATTTTACTTCAAGAATAGTATGTTTCATAGGCCAGGTGTGGGGATACATGCCTTTAATCCTAGCACTTGGGAGGCAGTGCCTGGTGGACAGCTGGGTTTGAAACCAGCCTCATCTACAGAGAAAGTTCCAGGACAGCCAGGGCTATACAGAGAAACCCTGTTTCAATAAACCAGGGCTGGGGGGAGGAGGGTAAGATGTTTGTTTCTCCCTATATACAATATTCAAGTATTTAATGCGCTGGATGCCACCCAAATTTTACACACCTGGCAGAACTTCATGATGCAATCAATGGGTGCCAAACATAACACATACCCTTGGGATGGTGACCTCAGCCATCTGCAATCAGGCTTTCAACCAACCCCTTGACTACAAACACAGCACCTTCCACCAGGGGTTGGGGGTGTAGCTCATCAGCACATCATGTATACTTAGCATATGCAAGGCCCTGGGTTCAACCCCCAAGAGCACTGACAGTAAAAGCAGCACCGGAACTAAACAAAGCCTTGAGTCAGAACTCTAAGGGCAGCTCTCAGTAAGTAGTACACTGCGACACACAGCTAGGACCCAAGGCCATGGAGCCTTCCAAGACAATTCAGTGGTGCCCTAGGCTGTTTGCTTTCTTTCCATAGACAATTGTCCAAAATATGACAAGATGAGCAGAGCCATATCCTCTTTAACTAGGTGACCTCAGAAGATGAGCCAGAATGACGCTGCAACACAGCTCAGTGTTAAAAGAGGGCCATTTCCAAAAGCAACATGGCAAGGTGTGGGTCCAGGCTCCGGGGCTTGGGAAGGTCTCTTCCCTCAGCAGCTTTCCACAGAGGTTCAGCGGGCCCTGGCTGCCTTCCCAGGGTTGGTCTGTTGGGTTAACTAATCAGTATGTAAATGTTTTCAAAATATGTTGGGAGTGCTAAATAAACAGCAAAGCTTCAGAAAAGAAACATTTAGGTGTTAAACCAAGACACAAAAGGAAGGCCCTCTGGCTAATGAGAGTGGGCCAGTTAATTGTCTAAGATCTGCTGACACCCCCCCCCACCTCCCATCCTCCCTCTCGGGGATTTTCACAGCCCTGAGGCTCACTCTTAGAGTCCTCTGGGTTGTAATCTGACCAATTTCAGAAAAAAACAGCCAAGTCTATTTTTGCTTGATTTCTGCATATGGGTTTATAAACTCAAAAGTGAAAGGATCCTAACACTTCTCCCTTCAAACATCATCTTCAAGGGTGGTGATCTGTCTGCCCCAGCCAATGGAAGGGAGTGAAACTTAGCATGTGCTAACAAGACCCAGCCTAGCTGCTGCTATGAGTCTGGCTAGCAAGCATGCCTGATTAGGGAAGCGGATGTTCACTCGATCAAACTTCCTTCATTTGAGAGCTGCTTTTCTCTCTTGTGCCTCAACTTCATCTCCCAGGTTCCCCAGACAGCAAGCTTCAGGCTTAGGAGAAATGTTCTTTAGACTGAAGATGAGGGTGGGGGAGGGAGGTGAGGGGTGCATGGGGTGGGGGAGGGAGGTGAGGGGTGCATGGGGAGGGGGAGGGAGGTGAGGGGTGCATGGGGAGGGAGGTGAGGGGTGCATGGGGTGGGGGGAGGGAGGTGAGGGGTGCATGGGGAGGGAGGTGAGGGGTGCATGGGGAGGGGGGAGGGAGGTGAGGGGTGCATGGGGAGGGGGTGAGGGGTGTATGGGGTGGGAGGTGAGGGGGTGTATGGGGGAGGGAGGTGAGGGGTGCATGGGGTGGGAGGTGAGGGGTGCATGGGGTGGGGGGAGGGAGGTGAGGGGGTGCATGGGGAGGGAGGTGAGGGGTGTATGGGGTGGGGGGAGGGAGGTGAGGGGTGCATGGGGGAGGGAGGTGAGGGGTGCATGGGGAGGGAGGTGAGGGGTGCATGGGGAGGGAGGTGAGGGGTGTATGGGGTGGGAGGTGAGGGGTGCATGGGGTGGGGGGAGGGAGGTGAGGGGTGCATGGGGAGGGAGGTGAGGGGTGCATGGGGAGGGAGGTGAGGGGTGCATGGGGAGGGAGGTGAGGGGTGCATGGGGTGGGAGGTGAGGGGTGTATGGGGTGGGGGAGGGAGGTGAGGGGTGCATGGGGTGGGGGAGGGAGGTGAGGGGTGCATGGGGAGGGAGGTGAGGGGTGCATGGGGTGGGAGGTGAGGGGTGCATGGGGAGGGGGGAGGGAGGTGAGGGGTGCATGGGGTGGGAGGTGAGGGGTGCATGGGGAGGGGGAGGGAGGTGAGGGGGTGCATGGGGAGGGAGGTGAGGGGTGCATGGGGAGGGAGGTGAGGGGTGCATGGGGAGGGAGGTGAGGGGTGCATGGGGAGGGGGAGGGAGGTGAGGGGTGTATGGGGTGGGAGGTGAGGGGTGCATGGGGTGGGGGAGGGAGGTGAGGGGTGCATGGGGAGGGAGGTGAGGGGTGCATGGGGAGGGAGGTGAGGGGTGCATGGGGAGGGAGGTGAGGGGTGTATGGGGGAGGGAGGTGAGGGGTGCATGGGGTGGGGGAGGGAGGTGAGGGGTGCATGGGGAGGGGGAGGGAGGTGAGGGGTGCATGGGGAGGGGGTGAGGGGTGCATGGGGTGGGGGAGGGAGGTGAGGGGTGCATGGGGAGGGAGGTGAGGGGTGTATGGGGTGGGAGGTGAGGGGTGCATGGGTGGGGGTGATATGGGAGAAGGAGGGCTCCACCACTGTGGAACAAGTTTCCAATTGCAGCATCCAGGAAATGTCACACACGGTGACAAGCTGTCAGTTCTCATCTGGCGCCAAGTGCATTTTGCTGGTTGATACAACTCTCCAAATGTTCATCTGTAATTTCCCGTGCAAGAATTTTCCCCTCCCCACTTGCCAGAAACTATATAAGCATAAGGGCCACAGTTTCTACTCCATTATTGTCTTTCCTTCCCCCAACCAAATAACACAATTCTTTTGGCCAAGGACTTGCTAAACGGACTGACCTCGTGTTATGGAGGTTCCAGGGAGGGAAACTTACACCCTGTGGGAGATGCCAAAATCAGCGTGGACAGTTTCTGCACTGACTTCTTCCACACACGTTATCTCCGCCTCCCCCTTTTCAAAGGCATCTTCAGTGTTAGGCATACCCAAGAAGAAATACATCATCAACAACCACCACCAAACTACAGTGAAGTCAGCAAAAGTGTAATTTGGTACATTAGAGAGTATGCCAAAGGCGTCACGGTGACAGCTGCATTTCTCAGTGAGGACACAAAACTTTGGAGGAGAATCTGTGCTAAAACACTTCTCAAGTCCCCTCGTTTAGACCATGAGAATAACAACAGCCATCTGGAAGGGTTGTTCTGGAACTAAGTAGGGCAAGCTAGTGGAAGTGGTAGGCTCAGAGAAACCGGTCTAAGAGGCGACTGAAAATCACGCAAGAACATACAGAAGGCCTGGAAATGAAGCATGAGCTTAGGAGGGTGACTTAAGTGAATCAGACAGACTTCTGCTTGCTGAGCAGCGAAACAGCCGACATGGAATGGCCCTGAATAGAGGGTAAGAACAGGCCATCGATGTTACGCGCAGGAATATCATTATATTAAGAAGTGATGATGGTAACGGATAATGCTTGGCTCCCTGAGCCTAAAAGGGCAGATTATTGACAAATTTAATATCATAATACTGAAGAAAGGCTGAGGCAGAGATGGGAATCCAGATTATGTTTTTCCTAGCATTTACAGTGAGCCTGGCCTATGCCAAGTACCATGGCCATGTAGACCATCTCATCCATATAATTTACTCCTCCTAATTAAGGGGCATAGACAGTATCACTTCCACATTTCAAATGTAGAAACTGGATTTGTTAAAAAGTAAGCAACCTGTTTGAGGCCACAGCGTTACAGTGGGGGAGGAGCTAAGCGTCTACTTACAGTGTGACAGGTTGTGACACCTCAGTCTTACACATGCACACAGGAGGCAACAATGATGGACTACTGAAATGACATCCCCGTGTGTGTCAGCAGGCTGGACAGTACTGGCAGAACCTAGGACAGTCATAGGCCACACACTGCCCCAAACTGGAATGGGCATGGGCAGTGGTGGGAGAGCCCCCACCTCCCTTGGTCCATTGGCGGAAAGAGTACAGACAGCCTACATGCCTCTAGGAATACAGACATGATAAGCACTCTCTTCTTCTGGATGTAAAGTGGAGAAGAAATACATTCTTACGTTAAGGTGACCGTGAAGTGCCCCAGACCTTAGTAGCGGACTCAGCTTAGGACTCACGCGTCATTCTGGATCTTTTCCCTGAATGAAACACTTGGTATCTAATCTAGGAGCCAGTGCTTTTCAGGCCCAGCAGGCATCCATCGGCAGCAGGAAACTTACAAAGTAGAATTAGAGTAGCAAATCCTCCTTGAAGTTGCAAAGAACATTTCCAGTTTAATGAAGACAGCCATAAACATTGGTAAAACCTCACCAATGACCTTCCCAATCAGCTAGTCAGAAGCCTTTATTACTCTTTTGGAATAAAAGGGGCCCGGTGTGGGCAATAGGCTAGAGTTCTAACTAGGAACGGTTAAACAAAAGGCAGATGCCGGAGAGAGCAATGAAACATTTACTACCCAATAGCGGTCCATATTGGCAGTTACTGAGCATCTTCCTGCCAAAGATCCCTAAACAAGGTTAGGACCACATCCCTAGGCCACACACTCTGACAGAGACAGCTATCACAGATCTGTGCTGCATGCCACTTGCCATTCAGCACATATGCCGCCCCCCCCCCATGAAAACAATGCCAATTGAGACTTGGAAAGAAAGGGGTAGAGGATGGGACTGAAGTAATGAAGCCACCAGCAGGTCAGTCAGTGGGAAGTGCTCGTGTAAACTTCCCCACACCAGGCTACAGAAAGCAACAGGTAAGAAGGGAACCCCAGACAAGGTGGCTGTCTGCTCTGGGCTGGAGGGAGTGAAAAGGGGACAAAATGTGGCAAGTGAAAACCAAATAATAAATAAACACAAAGCTGAGCCCCTAGCCCAGGCCTTTTATTTCCCTTCCAGATGGCCCAGCAGCTGACCAGCTCTGCAGAATGTCTGTGTTCTCCTCTACTCAGCCTCTTCCCTTTCCAGAGCATCATAATAGATGCTTTGGGACCTGTGTTCAGACACAGCTGTTGGGGGTCCACAGCCCAGGCAGTGACCACCAAGTGACTCATTTCATTACTTTGGGGCTGCAATGATGAACACAGACAACCCCTGCCTGCTAAGCCTTTTCATTTATGCTTTTATTAGACCCTCATACTGCGAGTGATCAAATTAAAGTGTTTTTTTCTTCCCTCTTTTCTGCAAACATTTTTACCAGCTGAAAAATTTCCCAGGCTTACTCTTGTATCAAATTTAGTATCAAAGGGAGTAATAAGGAGAATAAACTCAAGTACAGCACAAGCTCCAGGGCAAGCAATGGCTCCCATTTACCTAAATCACTCCTTCAAAGTACTGCTTGCTGCTCAACCACAAACTGTCAAATTCCTCCTCCCTGCTCCAACAGTGCCTCCTCCCTGCTCAAAGCTAGAAATGAAATGCAATACAGCTTCACCAGGAACACAATTTACAATATGTAATGTAGCAGGGAAAACTCACATTCAAATGAATTTGAAAGGAAACTGCTTTGCTAACCATACATAACATGTAATTGTGCTAAGAGCACCCTGCTAGCATTTATTCTCAACCTTAACAAGCTTTACTATTTTACTGTCTGGAAGGTTGGTGTGAACCCAGGCTTTTGTTACACCTAATAGCAGGTGGATTACCTAATCAGTTAAAGAAAAACAGCTTTGTACAACATGGGTCCAGTAACCTATAATCAACCACTAAGACAAAAACAACAGGAGCAAAAACAAACAAACAAACAACAAAAAAAACCAGTTTTGTGTTTGTTACTTTTTTTTCTAAAAAAGAAAGCTTGAAACAACTTTCATTTCTTGAGCCATATTTACATAAATTCATTTACCATAGCTGAAGCTATAAGCTCCCTAGGGCACAAGTAGAGAAGTTCTGTCCTCATATTTACACACACTATTTCACCAACTGTGTTGAGGTATTAGGATATAGACACCTTATGTACTTGCAATGCAGAACAAGGTCTAATTGCTTACACAAACTGCAGAAAAGAAGCCAGCTAATGTCTAGTGAAGTGTCTTATTTGCATAATTCCATAATGTTTTAAAGTATCGTCTTTGTAAATGTAATTGGGTAAACATATCGTTTTGCAAGGTTCAGCGAACCACCACAAGCCTCTGGCCAACAGATGCAAGATCAATAGCCAGAATTCAAACTGCATTATTTATTGGTTTACAAATGAGTTGGCGTCTATAAAAGTAAACCTTTTGAATGGCTCTAGCTGTCTGACTCCCTCGAAAATATTCTGGTCACACCTGCCAAGCCTCTATCAGTGTAAGATCCACGAAATGTATTTTCATTATCATCATAAAATGGAAGCATCAAGACCGGTGAAATGGCAGTCTAGAAAGTCATTTACAGTGACATTTAAAACAATTTATTTGACCAACATGTGACTCATGATAAGAACACTGCCTATTAAAGACTGTTCAGAATTCAGTGGCACCCTGTTCTGGTCCTGTGAGTTAACATCCTTTGAAAATGAAGGAATGTTACATATCTAAAATAAAAAGGGGATAAGAATACAGAACTTGTGACATTCTGAGCAGGCACCTATTAAAATGACTTCACCGTGACATTTCCACAGAAGGACCACATCCAGGGCGGCTCATCTTTGCCCCAGTATCTGTGTTGGCAACGCTTTTGCCTACAGCAATCCGTTTGCTTTCTCAACACTGCAGCTCAGAGTGCTTCCCTCTAAGGCACCAGAGAGCCGTGAAAATAAACAGGTTGCCAATATCCCTGCCCCCAGAGGTTCTCATCACCTCCCTGTGAACACCAACCACAGATGAAGACACCACACAAACTCCTCTCTCAGGCCGCCTTGCACGCTGCAGGCAAACAGTCTGGATATTTCATAGCTACTTTCAATTCCACAGCAAGACATACTAATATTCCAGGCCAGCTTGCAAAAACCCATGCTACCACTGGAGAAGACCCTAGAATAAGCTACACTGATGTCACCGAAGTATTTCCTTGTGGTTTGTTAGGCCTCGGGAAGCATGCAAATAGATAAATTTATGTTAACGTGACACATCTCAGAGAACTCAACAGAGAGCAGTTCGTGTTCCCAGGTGCCTAGCTCCGGTGCTATGATGAGATTAAGAGGAGCACCCTAAAAAAACTCCCGTGGCTCCTTAGACAACCACACAATCGGTTCTGGTTGAGCTGCATGGAAAGCCTTCTCAAGACTTCCTGAGAGCCTGGAAAGGGTCTGTCCCAGGTGAGGGACGATGAGACTGTCTCATAATAGTTGAATGGAAACACGATCTGTGGCAGGACACTATTCCAGCTCTCCTTTCAATTGCACCTTGCCGGGTCTGCCCGGGCTGAGGCTGGGAGCATCACCCCTTCCAGTCTCTCTCAATTTCACAGAGAGCTTTTAGCGGAGGCTGGTTTCCAAAAGTTGCCTTTTTCGTGGGGAGTGGAGATGGAACTGCAGTGCAGACCCGAGTCTCGAATACTTCTTCCCCACCTACACCTACTCCTCACTTCATTTCACACTCCTCTGCTCTGGCGATCGAGTTTTCAGAGCAACTGTCAAAATGCACCGTCGCCCTTTCCTGCCAGCTGCACCCAAAAATCTCTACCTGCACGGATCCCACGCACCTTTTAAAATCTCCACTTTTAGGACTCCAAACAGCCATGCGCTCACGGGAGGCGCAGGCCAACACCCAAGGGCTCCCCGCGAGGGCTTCTGGGTCTCGGGGCTGCCTGAGTGGCCTCGACCCACAGAACAAGATCCCTTTCTGCTCGCTCCGGGTCTTGCCCGCTGCTGGAGCGAGGCACGGTAACAGCTTTCAGCTCCGGAAGCCTCAGGTCTGGCAGGCGGAGGTGTGGCGGGAGGGCGGGCCAGCCCAGGTCCCTAGCAACCCGCGCGGCGTCCCCGCTCCACCTGCCCACCCGCGGGTCGCAGAGCTCCCACACCAGATCGGTGGTCCGGCCCGGCCGGCCTCGCCTACCTTCCGTCGGCCTCTGGGGAGCGCCCGCGCCAGCCGCCTCCGGAGCTCTGCAAGGAAAGGGAGCTTTGTTAGGGCCCCGCGAGCGCCGCGACACCGAGCAGCCCGCGCCGCCGATCTGGGCACGCGTCCTTCCAGAGGACGCGACTGGGGACCCGCGCGGGCGTCATTTCCATATGTAAGGGGCCAGTGCTCACAAAAGCACGCCGGCTCATCCCCCGCCCCCGCCGTCGCCGCGGCCCCTCCCCCTCCCCCGTAGCCACCCGCGGGCGACAGCGCCCCTCCCGGGCCGCCACCGCGTGCTGGACCGGGATCTGCGGGTCTGCACGGCGCGGGACGTTCGGGGTCCCCAAGCAGACGGCGCGTGGGCAACCAAGGCCTCGCGTTCTCCCAGGTCGCTCGATCCCCAGGGATCCCCAAGCTTGTCGCTCACCGAGTCCCGGGGCTCAGGCGCCCCGCGCCACAGCACAGACCATGACCTCGGGGCTCTTGAGCTCCGCCGGGCGACACGGAACGGCCGCGCCCAGCGCGCTCACTCCCGGCTCAGTCGCCGCCACCAAGAGATCGGGCCGCCGGGGAGGAAGAGCCCGGCCGCGCAGGGAGGAGTCAAGGGGACGCCGGCCAGGGCGCGGCTCCTCCTCCCGCCGCAGCCGAGGGAGGGGCGGGTGGCGGCTGTGAGCCCGCGGTGCGAACCCCTGCCTAAGAGGTTTGAACTTGGGAACGCCCTGGCTCTGTGTGCGGGTTCAGCACCCCAAGGTCCCCTCGGTGCACCAGCTGGCACTACCACCATGCGGTCCCTAGCCCACACCTCCTTTTCCTCTCAGAGGCATCCGCTAGCACCTGGTGGTTTGGCACAGGGCCCACAAGCCTCTGAAGAGTGAAGACCCAGCCGGATAGACCTAAAGTAGAAGTTCAGGTACCACTATAACCTTCAGGCGACCCTGGATTTCCCAGCCCCAGAGAGTCCTTCGAAGGTCCTGGGAAATTGCCCCAAAGAGCAAAGGGCCCTGTAGAGCGCTGAGCCCTATGGACCTCCAACCACTTCTAGATGTATCTGTAGCTGCCCCACATCCTTGTAGATGTCCTGGCCCTTGTATAACCTTCTGAGGATGCAGTCAGTCCTTTGTCACAATCGTGCAGAACAGAAAATTCTTGGAGTTGGTGGTCCTTGGGCCATCAAGGATACTGGGCAGGTACCCGCCCGGGCTACAGCTTTCTCCCATGCACCCTCAAAAGTGCTACCTTATCTCGGTTTTCTCCTCCCATTCTTAAACATCCTAACACAGTTAGTCAAAGAAGATCACAAATTCAGGCTAGAGGTGGAGAGAGCTGTAGGCCGGAGTCAATGCCTCCCTGGGATCCAAGAATGGTCCTTGTGGAAGAAATATCTGCCTGCGTTATTACACTCACAAGTTATTTCCGAAAGAGCATCAGACAAAATCTAGGTGACAGAAAGGAAACTGTAAAGTTCAGGATTTTGGAAACAGATGTGACCTGTTCTTCATGACAAGCACCCTGAGGAGGTAGACACCACAGCCTTTTAAAAGCCAGGAGGCTGGAAGTCCCTAAGGGGTTAGGCACCATAAAGTTTTTTTCAAAGCAGGCAGCTGGAAGTCCGGAAACGCAGGGCTTCAACAAAAAGCCCTTCACAGACCTAGGATTCAGAAGAACATCACATATGCCGCAAAACTGCCTAGAACTTAATGCTCACAACCCAAAACTATGAAACTGGTAAGAGATTTTAGTGGGGGCCCCAGCTGAAGATAGCCTACCTCCTTATTTTCTGCTTGTATTGTGCTACAGTTCTGAGAAAACTGAATAAAGCATTTAGAGGCTTTCTTTCTATGATTCCTTACGTGAATCTACAGCTGTCTCAAAATTTAGGAAACACATATAACAAAGCCAGTTGTCTAAAAAATCCTAAACTTTCTCCAACACAGAGCATCTTGGAAACAAGGGGCATTTCATGCCCCTTTCCCCTTTCAGCCCATTAGAAACTTACAACCTGCTATTCCATTAGTCAACATCATTCATCAACTCACTACCAGAAGGATACTTACAGAGATGTCATGAACAAGAGTGATGCTCAATGGACACTCAAACAGCCAACAGCCTTGGAGAATGGGTGAGGAGGCGGCTTCCTTGTTCTGCCCAGTCTCTGCCACTGCAGAGTCATCGTGCTGGTTACCTCTCCATACGCCCCTGTAACCACCAAGGATCCTTGAGAATGAGATAGTGCCTTAGTTCAAAGCAGTGGTTCTTGGGGCCAGAGATCTTGGAGGCAGTGTTCACTGCTTGTGGAGGAAGCTCAGATTGCTAAGGATGGTGTAATTAGAAAAAACGCAATACTGGTTTTTTGAAAGAATGAGATGGGGTGGAGTTAGTGCTGGGATTGTCTCCAGCCTTGCCACAGAGGAGGGAACAGCATAGAGCCAGGCAATTGCTGCTGGGTGGTTCAGGGTTGTTGGGAGCACGTGTGAAGCAGATTCTTTAACACCTGTGCCGGTGTGTTAGGTCCCACAGGGTGGATGATTAGTCTTAGTCCATACAAAAAAACCAAAGGCTTCCCTTAGAACCAGCCTATTGCTTAGCAGTAGCAATATAAAGAAAAAGAAAAGAAATATGAACACTTGCCTGGAGGTAATATTCATTGCAAGCTAAATTGCACCTTTTATTTGTTGTAGTTTATCTGCTTTTGACTTTAATTCTCATTTTACAGAACCTTGTTAGTGGAGCCTGGAACCTTCGTTTGAGGTTTGTTTTCTGCTACATTCTACAGTATTGGGCTGGAGTTGTCAGGGGTTTAAAACTTTCAAAAGGTTTGCTGAAGCAGATGCCCTGACAGAGTATGTCACTCTGTTCCTTCCTGAAGAAACTTTATGTTTTGTTTTGTTTTGAGACAGGGTTTCTCTGTGTAGCCCTGGCTGCCCTGGAACTCATTATGTAAATCAGTTTGGTCTTGAACTCATAATCGATCTGCCTGCTTCTGCCTCCAGAGTCCTGGGATTAAATGTGTGCACCACCACACCCAGCTTTAGTGTTCCCCAGGCTGCCTGGAGAGCCTTATCCTCCTGCTTCCACACCATTGGGAAATTTTATAAGTGATAGATAGGGTCAGGACAGCTAAGATGAATTAGAGAAAAAGAAGAGGGAGTAGAGAGGGGAGATGGGAATGAGGGTGAAAATAATTAGACAGGAAGAAGGGAGAAGAGTTTAGAATGTAACCTTTTTACTTCCTGGTACTTAAAGAATGATGCCTGGCCCCCAGTTAGGGAAAAGTTGCAGTTCTAGCCCAACTCAACAAACCCATCTCTGTATCACAGCTGGCTGTGTTATTTCCCTCCCTCCCTCCCTCCCTTCTTTCCTTCCTTCCTTCTCTTTCTTTTTTAAAGTCAGGGTTTCTCTGTATAGCCCTGGTTGTCATGGAACTCACTCTGTAGACTGAGGCTGACCTTGAATTTACAGGGACCACCTGCCTCTGCTCCTGAGTCCTAGGACTAAAGGTCTGTGTCACCGTGCCCAGCCAAGTCTTCTTCACAGAATAGCCCCAAACCTGGCTAGCTCAGGAGCTGAGTGAATGAAAGAGATGTCATACTTTCTCTCAGAGGAGATTAGGTGGTGAAAGGAGTGTGTGTGTGTGTGTGTGTGTGTGTGTGTGTGTGTGTGTGTGTGTGTCCGGGAGGGGTTGAGAAGTCTGTATTCCAGAGATGCATGCCAGGGACCAGGAGATCCAACAGCCAGATGAGAAGAAAGAACACAAGCAGAGAGAAGGGAGTGGATCTTAGCCTTGTAAAATCTTCTCTTAAAATAAAAGATCTTTGAATAGAAAACAATGTTTTTCCAAATGGGACTACTTTTGAGTTTTTCTGCAAGAATTGGGGACCCACTTAAAACAGGTCTGTCTAGTAGAAATGAATGTAAGTCACAGGTGTAGCTCAAACTTTTCCCAATGACCATATTTTAAAAGATAAAGTAAACACATAAAATTGTTTAACATGTTTAACCAATTATGTCCCCAAATATTGTCTTTTCAACATTTACTCAATATTAAAACCAGTGAGGTAGTTTTTCATTTATGTTTGTGTAATTCTATGGCTCCTGCTCTGTATTTTTGCTTGTAGCCCATCTGTCTTCATACTGGCCATGTAGACTGATGGCTACTGCTGTGCTTAAGATGACAAAGTGGATGTGTCTGACCCCAAGCCTAGGACTGTTCCCATAGCATTTACTTCCCAGGACTGTTTATGAATGAACCAAATAGCTACCTTAAAAGAATGCAAGCTGTCAAAGTCATAGTATCATTATTTAAGGCTTGTCATCTTCTAAATTCCTCACCTCTCCAATAAGTTAAATGTATTTAATTTTATTCTATGTGCATTAGTATGAGGGTGTCAGATCTCCTGGAACTGGGGTTTCGAGCTGCCATGTGGGTACTGGGAATTGCTCCCAGGTCCTTTGGAAGAGCAGCCAGTATTGTTAACCACTGAGCCATCTCTCCAATTCCCTCCAAAAGTACTTTTTAATCTAAAATTTTAGAAGGAAGGAGCCCACTATACAGTATTTTAATAGCTAGAAACAACTAGAAAGCTGCTTAAGTTTGCCTTGCTTATCCTTTGAATCTGCAGGGAGCCTAGCAGAGAAGACCAGGGACCAAGGATGGAATGGCATCCGTGATATGCTGGTCCTCCAAGGAAATGTGGGAGGGTGCTTGGGCCTCATCCATCCTCCATCCCACTCACATCAGCCCCTGCCAGCATCCTGAGGACCATGTTGCTTTCCATGATTAATCTCAAAGGCCTTGAAATAACTATGCAATCTTTCCTTTTACTCTCTCACCAGTCCAAATCTGAAATGCAGGGGGTAATGACCTTATGAAAGGAATAAAATGAGGCCAATGACAGGAGATCGTTACCCCCAGTGATAAGGACAGCAGGAAGTAATCCAAATCATGAAGGCCACTTTGCACAGTCTGATGAAGGTGCAATCAGATAGATGTGGCATTACCTAAAGCAACATGGAACCCTTTGGTTTGCATTTCACTTTCTACTGGGACAGAAATGGTGAGGCTCTGCACACCTAACTTCCAAGGTGAAAGGGTGTTCATCTTTATGACAGTGAGCTCTGTGAGTCATGCTCAATTTACATAAAGTTCTGTGTCTCAGAAGCTGCTGTATTAGAGCCAAAGCTGAGGTGCCCAGATGCCATACTCAGACTCTAATGGAAATGCACTTTGTCTGGTTCTTGATGTTAAGGGTCTTTTCTCCCTCACTATGGAGCCTGTCTCAGTGTCTCCCAAAATGCTAACAAGTAAGGCAGAAGGAAAACAGACCAACAGAGGGAAAAAAGTGTCTGTTTGTGTGCATCTGCTAAAAGGTCCACAATCAAGAACAGTGTGTGTGTGTGTGTGTGTGTGTGTGTGTGTGTGTGTGTGTGTGGTGTGGAATGTGTGGTATGTGTGTGATGTATGTATGTGTGTGGAGTGTGTGTAGGTGTGTGTAGGTGTGTGTATATGTTTGTATGCACACATGTGCCTTGATGTGCCTGTGGTGGTCAGAGGATAACCTTGGGTGATGGTCCTCACCTTTCACCTGGTTTAAGGCAGGCCTGTCTGTCTGTCTGTGTGTGTTTGTGTCTGTGATAGGTAGGTATACACCCATTTGT